GGTGGAGGGGTTAACTGCTGCTCCCTCTGCCCCAGGCCCTCCGTGCGCATCGAGACCCAGGCTGCCTTCAACCTGGAGCACTACAGGGACAGCCGCAGCGGCCCCTTGCAGTACATCTTCTGGAGACGGATGCTGCAGTCCATCCACCCCGGTGAGCAGATCAGTGTGAAGGATGGATGTGCTGGATGGTGGCAGGGCCAGGAATGCTCTGCAGAGGGAATATGCAGCTGGTAAAATGCCATGCTTGATGTCTTCACAGCTCCTGCCCCACTCACCTTCGACCCTGAGTCAGCTCACCCCAACCTGGTCTTCTCCAGAGACCTGACAGCAGTGACGGAGAGGAATCGAGCCCAGCCTGTCCCCAACAGCCCCCGGCGCTTCCGTCAGTGTGTCAATGTCCTGGGCTCACAGACCTTTGACAGTGGCCGGCACTACTGGGAGGTCTGGGTGGGCAGCAAAACCAAGTGGGACCTGGGGGTGGCTGCTGAGGCTGTGGACCGGGCAGCAAAGGTCAAGCTGTGCCCAGAGAATGGCTACTGGACAATTCGGCTGCGGAACCGGAGGGAGTACTGGGCCACCACCACCCCCTGGGTGCGCCTGACTCCCCGCCATCCCCCCCGGAAAGTGGGGGTCTTCCTGGACTGCCACGAGGGGACTGTCACCTTCTTTGATGCTGGGGACATGTGCCACCTCTTCACCTTCCACCAGGTCTCTGCAGAGAGATACTGCCCCTTCTTCAGCACCTGCTTCAGCGACGGGGGGGACAACGTGGAGCCCATGCGCCTCTGCCACCTGGCCCTGTGAGGGATGAGGAGGAGCGGGGTGTTTTGAGGACACCAGCCTGGCTCCTTGTCTCTTCTGGCTGGCTGCCTGGGGCTGTGCTGGAGGCCAGTTCTGCACACACAGATATGGTGGCTGTTGGAGGGACTGTTTTCGTTTCAGTTTTAGAAGAAAGGAGGGGGATGAGTCTCTTCCCAGCTCCTATCTGCCCTCCTTTCTGTGTGCCACGAGCTGTGGGTGCTGCACTGCAGTCCCAGGGGTGCCTGGCACCCATTGAAGAATAATCTTCTATGCCTGAGCTTTGTATGGTTCAGTAACTGGCCACAGGGCTGCAGTGGAGGTGGCTGCAGGCTGTTTGCAGCTCCTGTCCCTCCATGCTCCCACCCATAAACCCTGTGGAGGAGGAGGGCAGTGGTCCTGCCACACCATCGGGTCCCTCTTGACACAACTCTGCATGCTGACGGTGGGCTTCCTCTGCTCCAAGAGCTGTGTGGGAACGGGCTCCAGGCTGGTGGCAGTGGGAGCTTGATGCACAGTGTGGGACCTAGTGTAGCCCTGGGACTGTCGTGCTGCCTCATCTCTACTTGTTAACCATTAAAGTTCCTTAGAAAGGCCTCTGCCTGCTGGTCCTGCTCACGGCTTGTGTGCTGGGGTGGGATCTACTGCACTGGGGTGTAGCTCAGAGCAGCCCCCTGACCCCTGCTCCAGCCCAGGCTCCTTCCCTCTGCCCCACAGGAGGCATGAAAGAGCCACCACTCACTCAACCCATCCCATGGAGCACTCCCTGCACATCACAGAGGCTCTTGGTCTGTTGCTCACCCTGCCCTGTGTGGCTGCTCAGGAGCAAGGTGAGGGTTTGGCAGCCCCATGGGGTGGGGAGGTTTGTCTGAGCCCAGCTCTGACCTTAGGCTCCTGGGCTTTAAGGTTCAGTCTGGTCTGGCCTGGTTGGGTCTTAAGGATTTGTATCTGAAAAATGCAAAGTCCCGTTTCAGACCAACTTCCCAAAAGCCCAGGCAGCCTTTACTGCCAGGAGTGGGTGGTCCCAGCACTGCTCTTTGCACCTGCAGGAGGGCTTCTTGGAGGGGCAAGTTGAGTGGGTTTGGTTGCTGTGGTTTGTGACTGGGGGGTGCTCATCATGTCCCCCCGTTGCTCACAAGTCAGCAGAGTTAACTTGAGGCAGGAGGTGCTGGGGTGGGTCTGAGCCTGGTGGGAGGGAGGATGGCACTGCCTGGGGTGGGTGGAATTGTGTTTATCCCACTCAAGTCCACTCCAAGGTCAAAGCAGAGGCCAGAGCTACCCTGGTCCTGTGTAGCCCCTGGTGTTGGCTGGAGCCTGCAAATTCCTCCTCTGCAGAGGCTCAGCTTTCCACACTGCAGGAAGGGCCAGGCAGGGGGGCTTTCCAGCTCCCACAGCTGAGCTCGGGGACACTTGTCAAAGCAAGTCCTTCACTGGTCATCCCCCTGCTCAGTGGGGATGGGACAGGGGCCCTGTCCTCCTGCGGTGTCACAGGGAACCTCCCCCCTTCCTACACACCACTGCTGCAGTATGCTGGGCTCTGTAGTGCCTGGGTTTGGGGTAAAAATGCCTGTGCCAGGGCAGGAGCAGACTTTGTGCTCAGCTGGACAGAGGATGACCCATGTGAGATGCAGGCAGACGTGCCCTCACGTGCACCGAGCAGCCTGGGGCTCTGCAGGCATGGGGTGGAGGTGGGTGCGGAGGGGACACAGTTATTGGGAAGCCACTGCTCTGTGCAGCCTTGCCCAGGAGTTGGGTGTGCTTGGAGAGGATGTCAGCGGTTCCTGCTCCCTCCTGATCCTCGGTTGGGCTTTAGCTGGTGAGTGAGCTCTGCTCCCTTGCTGCTGAGCCCCCGGGCTGGACTCAGCCTCCTCTCCCAGCTCGTACCTCATCCTCATTGTCCCCCAGCGTCAGCTGAAGTAAGAGTTGAGAAGAAGGAGCTGCTGGCTTGGGAATGTGGCTGTGAGTGGGGCTGTCATCCCACCTGCAAGGGCTGGAAGCCTCTGTGGGAAGGTGAGGCTGGTTTGATGGCAACATGGAGCTGTGGCTGAGGGAGCTGAAGCCTGTTGTCTGCCCAACCAGCCCCGCAACCTGCAGGGGAGTAAGGCTGGGCAGCAGCAGGCAACCATCCCCGAAGCACGGGCGGATCCACAGCCAGGCTTTGGCCGCCAGCTCCCGCTGCCCACCGCTGCCGTGTGCCGCGTGGGCCGGTGTGGCGGCACGGGCTGCGAGCAGCTCGCTGCGACGTCTGCCAGTGCCATCGCTGCCACCTCCTACGCCTTCCCCTTAGCAAAGGCAGAGCTGGAGAGCTGCAAAACCTGCTTGTCCCAAATCCCTGGGCTGAGCAGGCTCCCGAGGAAGCACGTCCTTCCTCCTCCTCTTCTTCCTCCTCTTCTTCCTCCCGCCGTGGCCATGCTGTGCTGCTCCCAGGCAGAGCCACGTTTTGGGATATACCATCCTCACCTGGCCCTGCCAGCAGGGAAGGGCCCTGGCAGGAAGGCTGGAGCAGGCAGAGCCCCTGCCCCGTGCCCAGCACAGGGGAAAACGCTGCTCTGAGCTGCCGTACGTGTGGCGTTAGCCCGGTGAGGAAGTACTGCCTGCCGTTAAATGCTGTCTGAAAAACACATTTCACTGGTAAACCGTAGCACTGTGGAGTAGAAACCACAGGGGTGGTGTGTATGCAGTGACTGGCCAGGCCTGGCCGTGGGTTTGGGCAGGAGGGAACATGGATGGGTGAGTGGGCACCGCGGGGGTGAAGCCCCCCTCTCTGCTCCAGCATCTGGACTCTGCACCTGCCAGGGCTGGCTCTCACCATCTGCCCCAGGACCAGGCTGTGTTTTCCTTGCAGGTGACCTTGTCTTTTTGTCCCTGGGTGTCCTTAGAGCCCCCCCCTCAGTGTGCCTTTCCCATAGCCGTGCCTGGGGCTGGGCAGTGTCCAGCAGCTCCTGCCCTGGTCCCCTCTCCGTGACGTGTCTGTGCCTTTATCCTGTGCCTTGGGGAAGCCTTTGCTTCCTCAGGTTCCCCCACATACTGGAAAGGGAACAAGGTTTTAAAATAAGGTCCTTTTGTTTCTCAGGGCGGCAACAATGGAAAGGTCCCATCGGTCCCACAGTCACCCTGTGTTTGTGATGGAAAATTCCCCGTGGTGGTGGGACGAGCCCTCCCCGGTGTCCTGCCGTTAGATGGCAGCATGGACGGGCTGTGCCGGCCACCGCCGTCTGCACGGTGCCACATTTGGACTGCAATGGATGCAGGATGCCAAAACGCCTTGATTTTTGGGGTGCCAGAGGATCCCCAGCCCCAGGTCAGACCCTCTGCTCTTCTCACACTACTCAGCGTCTCGAGGCAGCCCTTCCACTGTGTGTTTTGTCCAGTGTCCCAGCGGTGTGATGTGATTCATCCCTCCGTGTCCACACCTCACCACCTCGCTGCTCATCTCTCAGATACACGATGGCCCCTGATGGTCTCAGTGGTCCCCAGCGCGGGTACACTGCCGTGATGGGGACCCCCCATGGCTGCCCCATCTCTGATCACAGCTCCCAGTGCTGGGGAGTGATCTGATCCTGCAATCCCAGCTCTTCTCCCTGCTGCAGTGGGCAGTGCTGCTCCTCAGTGCAGTCCCCAGCTCTGCCTCACCACCCCATCATCCTGGCAAATTTTAAACATCTCTCTCCAGAAATTCGCATGGATTTGGGCAGCCACCTGGGATGGAGGGTCACCACTGCTTTCTGCTGCTTTGTGATGGAGAAGGGAGGTGGTCCAAGATGAATGTGCTCAAGAGTAATGCAGCCGGTGCTCTCAGGATTAAAAACTCACTAATTGGGCCAAGGGGATTTGGGTAATACAACTTCTGCAGCTTGGAGCCCCTCTGGTGGCTCCAGGAAGGGGGACAGGGTGATTTCTTCCACGGGTTTGGCAATGAGAGCAGTTGAGTGCACAAGAAGTTTTCATGCCTTTTTGAAGCCATGAGCACATGGTTCTCATTCAGGCTCGCTCTTCGCTGTCTGCAAGCGTGCATAATTAATAACCCCCCCGGGCACAGCGTGGGGCCGTGCTCATCTATCTGTTCAGTGCTCCTTGGGT